GATTTCTGGAAGGATCAATTGTTGCTTTTTTGCATTTACCAAACAAGAATACCAAAAGTCTTATATATATTGAACAGACCAAAAAGGATGAAATAAAGAAGTTCATTGTTAGGGTTTACAAAGCATTTAATGGTACAAAAAGTGGAGCTTTATTGGCACAAATGGGGAAACTTAACAGCACATCTATTAGGTTTTAAAGAGCTTTTACATTTTGACAGTGAACAATACATTCTTTTGACCCCTGCATGAAATCCCTACCAATTTAAATTGCCTTGGCACTAGCTTGGCAAATGTTAGCTTCCAATGTTCCATAGACATTACAGGTACTTTAAAAGATGGGACAGTACACGATATAGAGCATACACCATCATTATCATCATCCCCAGGCAATTCATACATTCTCCATAGTGTGGAGGATCCTGAGGAAGGAATTGACCCCAAAGGTGCCTCAAGTGGTAGCCTCTGCCACTTATGTTTCTGCCAACCACGGACAATATGATGACTATATTATCTGTATATAGCTACTTCAAAATAAACTAACTCCATTTTTTTAAATTCACAGCCAAGACATTAACTACAACAGGATCCCGTCTGTCATATCCGAAGCCAAGTGCCGCCATAATGGATGCTTAGATGCAGATGGCAACGTAGACCTTACCCTGAACTCAGTCCCCATCAGACAGGAGATCCTGGTCCTTCAGCGTGAGGTGAAAGGCTGTGCTCCCACCTTCAAATTGGGAAAAAGAAGATGGTCACTGTTGGCTGCACCTGTGTCCAGCCCAGACAGCAGTCATAACTACTGGACGTTCCATGATGCCTCCGTCTCTGTTGCACATGCATTGTGGAAATACAGAGAAAAAGTAGCACTGATATAAGTGCACCCGTTCCGTAGCAATTTTATTGCACAGTTCTCATTTTTGTTACTATTCTATTATATTTATATAAAGTATATGGTTGTTAAGAGTTATTTTTTTTTGTATTTATTAGTGTCATGTCCCAAAATGCATGCTTATTTTAAATAAAATGTGTAATGGATTTTATATTTGCTTGCTTGGAGTGTTAGTTATTATATTAATGACATGGTCTAGGCCAGTGGTCTCCAAACTGTGGCTTGGGGGCCAGATGTGGCCCTTTGCTTGACTTTATCCAGCCCTCGAGGCATTATTTCTCCCACTGACACCAATGATGGGACACTATTCCTCCCACTGACACTAGTGATGGGACACTATTCCTCCCACTGACACCAACGATATGGCACTATTCCTCCCACTGCCATCAATGGTATGGCACTATTCCTCCCACTGACACCAATGATGGGGCAATATTCCTCCCACTGATGCCAATGATGGGGCAATATTCCTCCCACTGATGCCAATGATGGGGCACTATTCCTCCCACTGATACCAATGATGGGGCACTGTTCCTCCCCCTGATACCAATGATGGGGCACTATTTCTCCCACTGATACTAATGATGGGGCACTATTCCTCCCACTAATACCAATGATGGGGCACTGTTCCTCCCACTGATACCAATGATGGGGCACTATTTCTCCCACTGATACCAATGATGGGGCACTATTCCTCCCACTGACACCAATGATGGGGCACTATTCCACCCACTGACACCAATGATGGGGCAATATTTCTCCCACTGATACCAATTATGGGGCACTATTTCTCCCACTGATACCAATGATGGGGCACTATTCCTCCCACTGATACCAATGATGGGGCACTATTCCTCCCACTGATACCAATGATGGGGCACTATTCCTCCCACTGATACCAATGATGGGGCACTGTTCCTCCTACTGTTACCAACTATTTCTCCTCCAAATACCAAAGATGGACCATTGTTTATTCCCGCTGGGCACAGTCTGCCCCCCTAAAGTAAGTCTGAAGGACAGTAAAGTAGCCCTTTGTTTAAACAGTTTGGAGACCTCTGGTCTAGGCAATAAATTCATTCAATTATTTCTATCCTGAAAGCCAGTAATAACAACTCCTTATCCTAGTTTACAATGCAGTTTGTGTAGTTCCATCATTTTGGGTTGGTCAGCTTTCTCAGATCACGTGATCACAAGCTATGTATTTTGGTGTGTGTATACGTATATGCGTCTGACTTACATTGCAGAGGTCTTAGCAATAGGTGTTCTTGAACAATATATTGCTGGTATCAAGTTGATTACATTAGAGTTAGAATGATTAAGCCTCTTTATTTGCCTCATTTACTGTTCACTGAGAGTAAGAATGAAAGGAAACCCAAAATTTTGGGTTGTTCCCACAACAGGAATAGAGGAAAAATCTTCCAATGGAGGGAGTCACTAGCTCTGGTGACAATCAGGGAGTCCCTCACTTTGAAGGGATTTCTTCTCACTTCCTGTTGGGCTATGCAACAGGAATTGAGATAAATCTCCCTAAAAGGACACAGATGGCAAGAAACCTGACAGGATTTGATAAAATTCTTGTCCCAGCACCTGCGGTAAACTTTCCACGCTGCTGGCACCTGCTATTTCAGTGCTGCTTCCATGAATTTCTGGTCCTCACAAAAAAGAGCTAACATTGGAAACTCTGGACGTAAATTTCATTTGGGTGCACGTTGCATGACAGCGCAGTTGTCAGTTAATGTAAAGCAGCGCCGTAACGCCGCACCCAAATGCAATTTAGTCCTTTTTTCCCACAAATGGAGCTTTCTTTCGGTGATATTTGATCACCTGTGAAATGGCCTGGTCAGGAAGGGGGGTAAATCCTCTGGAGGGCAAGTGGTTAGAAAGACTGAGGGTTTGATGACACTTTAAGGGCCCATGCACACTGGCTCAAAAAAACTCTGCTCCTAGAGGAGTTTTGCCTGTAGATGCTCCAAAGACATGCTGGTAGGTTAATTGGATCCTGTCTAAATTGGCCCTAGTATGTGAATGTAAGTTAGGGACCTTAGATTGTACGCCCCTTGAGGGTTAGGGACTGATGTGAATGTACAATATATATGTAAAGCATTGTGTAAATTGACGGCGCTATATAAGTACCTGTAGAAAATAATAAATAAATAGAAGCAACCAATATTATCCTATTTTTCCATGCACATTAGGTCATTTAGAGGCATATTTTAAGCACAGCGTTTAGAGGCAGAAAAAAAAAACCCTTCCTGTTTTGCATTTTTGAGAGTGGTTTTCTGGCAGAAAAAAAGGTAAATACTCCTAAACGTTAGTACAAAAAAATGCTCAAAATTAGCAATTTTTTTTCTGCCAAAAGCAATGAATTTTTTAAAGGGTAACTCCACTTTCATGGGAAAAAAATTAGCAAGTATTATTATTATTATTATTATTATTATACAGTATTTATAAAGCGCCAATAGTTCGCTCAGCGCTGTACATTACAAAGGGGGACAGAACATGTGACAGAACAATACTAATACAATGCAAAACATGAGGGGATCGAGGGCCCTGCTCTTTGGAGCTTACAATCTAGGAGGGAGGGGATGGTGGCACAGGAGGAGATAGCTGTGGGGGATGGAGTGGTAGGAAGAGTGGAGGAGGTTGGCAAGTTAGCAGGGGGTGGGGTAGGCTTCCCTGAAGAGATGGGTTTTCAGGGTGCGCCTAAAGGAGAGGAGAGTAGGTGATAATCTGATGGGTTGGGGCAAGGAGTTCCAGAGGATGGGTGACACCCTGGAGAAGTCCTGGAGGCGGGCATGGGAGGAGGAGACCAGGGAAAAAAAAACAGCATAGTATATACAATTGCGACCCAAATCATACTGCAATTAAATGTTAATAAAACCTACCTTTCTTTTTCAATCTGCAGCGCTGTCATTTTCTGTAAATGCAACGCAATATGGCAGCCTGGAGGTGTTCCGTACACAGATGGTATACAGAAAGCCCAACAGAAATGTCATTTCCTGCTTGTGTGATTGGCTCACTGATTTTCACAGAAGTCTGCACTAAGATACAAATCAGATTTTGGGCACCCCCTGCAACAAAAATGTCATTTTTGGCGAGGTACTCTCAAAGGGAAATCACATCTAAAGGGATGCAGACCCTGCCACTTTTCTCATTAGAGCCCATCAGGTGCAGCATTTGACTGATAATTCTGAAGCCCCTCCCATATAGATTCACTTTGCACATGGACACAGACAAACAAACAGCTATGTCTTCATAATAACAAAAGGTAGGAACAGGGACGGACTAATAACTCATGAGGCGCCTGGGCAATAGAGGATCATGGGGCCCCTGTGTCCTCGCCAACACTCAAACCACACCCAAAAATGCCTATGAAAGGTACCAGGGGCATCTCATGGGGCCCTCTACTGACCCTGGGCCCTTGGGCAGAGCCCAAGTTTCCGAATGGTCAGTCCACCCCGGGTAGGAATCTGCAACACAGTTTGATAAAATCCCTGCAATGTAAATAGATCACCCAGAGGGGAATGCTATTTTTTTCAATATAAGTGGAGTTACTCTTCAAGCCAGTGTGAATGGACCCTAAGTGTTTCATTAATCACATATTTTGAGTGTTTTTTATTATGGATTTTTGCCTAAAACATTTTTCGATGTAACTTTTTTTGTTGTTGTTCTGTATTTCCATTACTAGATTACAAGTGCAGATTGTAGACTGTCCCTCTAGCGGTCATCTCTATATCTGGCAGAATCACTCCTTGATTAGCAACCACTGAGGTTACAATCTCATTGAGGGTACATTGTTTTAGTCAGTCGATCTTACTGGTAGACTTGAAGTGTCATAAGGCACAACCATTGTGAAGCACTACTAAGCCTGTATGCATATATGACTAATATATAGAAACTAAACCTTTAAAACATTAACAGACTTTGATATAATTGTTAAAGTGTTACTAAACCCAATACCCTGCATCCACTATATCTGGTCTCCCTGGACCCTGCATCCACTATATCTGGTCTCCCTGGACCCTGCATCCACTATATCTGGTCTCCCTGGACCCTGCATTCACTGTATCTGGTCTCACAGGACCCTGCATTCACTATATCTGGTCTCCCCGGACCCTGCATTCACTATATCTGGTCTCCCTGGACCCTGCATCCACTATATCTGGTCTCCCTGGACCCTGCATACACTATATCTGGTCTCACAGGACCCTGCATTCACTATATCTGGTCTCCCCGGACCTAGCATTCACTATATCTATTCTCCCCGGACCCTGCATTCACTATATCTGGTCTCCCAGGACCCTGCATCCACTGTATCTGGTCTCCCAGGACCCTGCATTCACTATATCTGGTCTCCCCAGACCCTGCATTCACTGTATCTGATCTCCCAGGATCCTGCATTCACTATATCTGGTCTCCCCGGACCCTGCATTCACTATATCTGGTCTCCCCAGACCCTGCATTCACTATATCTGGTCTCTCCGTACCCTGCATTCACTATATCTGGTCTCCCCGGACACTGCATTCACTATATCTGGTCTCCCCAGACCCTGCATTCACTGTATCTGGTCTCCCCGGACACTGCATTCACTACATCTGGTCTCCCAGGACCCTGCATTCACTGTATCTGGTCTCCCCGGACACTGCATTCACTATATCCCCGGACCGGAGCATTCACTATATCTGATCTCCCAGGACCCTGCATTCACTATATCTGGTCTCTCCGGACCCTGCATTCACTATATCTGGTCTCCCCAGAAACTGCATTCACTATATCTGGTCTCCCCGGACCCTGCATTCACTATATCTGGCCTCCCCAGACCCTGCGTTCACTATATCTGGTCTCCCCAGACCCTGCATTCACTATATCTGATCTCCCCGGACCCTGCATTCACTATATCTGGTCTCCCCGGACCCTGCATTCACTATATATGGTCTCCCTGGACCCTTCATTTATTATATTTGGTCTCCCCGGACCCTGCATTCACTATATCTGGTCTCCTAGGACCCTGCATTTACTAAATCTGGTCTCCTCGGACCCTGCATTCACTATATCTGGTCTCCTCGGACCTAGCATCCACTATATCTGATCTCCCAGGACCCTTCATTCACTATATCTGGTCTCCCCGGACCCTGCATTCACTATATCTGGTCTCCCCGGACCCTGCATTCACTATATCTGGTCTCCCAGGACCCTGCATTCACTATATCTGGTCTCCAGGACCCTGCATTCACTATATCTGGTCTCCCAGGATCTGGTCTCCCAGCTGTTACTAGTAGCATTCACTATATCTGGTCTCCCCGGACCCTGCATTCACTATATCTGGTTTCCCACAATACACACAACATGAAAGTGCAATTATTTTAGTAAATATAAACTGCTAAATACTTTTTCTCATCAGAAGTTAGAGAAGTCTTGTAACTTCAGAAGAGCACTGGTTAAAGCTTGTAGGAGGAGTTTTCTTTCTGCTCTAGGTGGATGCAGAACCCCTGACCTCTGTCTGGACATTGCTGATTGAACCTGTGCTGATCACATGCACTCTACCAAGAAAAAAAAAATCCTCTCTAGTAATACACACCAAACTGAACATGTGTATGTGACTATGGATTCATTCTGTATCAGGTTGTCATTTTAACAAGAGGAGGGGCAGAGAAGAGAGAATCAAACATCTTTTTTACACAATGTAGAGGATTAACCCCTTAGGTTCCACAGTGAGTATAACAAGCATGCTTTACTGCATATATAGACTGATTTTACTGTTGTGGGTTTAGTAACACTTTAACTATTCAATTTTCCAAGTGCAATATATCCTTTTACCCTTGTTTATATCTGTAACAACCCCATACTTTCACTCCATTAAGGAGGATGCAAAACCCCTGATCTCTGTCTGACCAGTGCTGATTGGCCCTGTGCTGATTACATGCACTCTCCCAAGAAAGAGAAAACCTCTCTAGCAATACACACCAAACTGAGCATGTGAAAAATGCCTACGGTTCAGTCTGTCTCATCAGAAGATAAGAGGTGCTCGCCTAAACAAAGGGAGGAACAGAGCAATCAGGATCAAATAGCCTTTTTTACACAATACAGAGGATTAACCCCTTAGGTTCCACAGTGAGTATAACAAGCATGATTTACTGCATATACAGACTGATTTTACTGTTGTGGGTTTAGTAACACTTTAATACTAAGCTGATCAAAGTCTGCACAGTAAATTAAAAAAAAATGATTATAGCCTCTAACTAAATTCATTGTTAAGGTGGTGTAAGATAGGCTGATGTACAGGACTGTTCTAAAAACCCCAGAAAACAAGTCATTTTTGCCAGGCTGGATTTACTGATATTTGCATTCTATCATCTGGCAACATCACTAAGCATTTTTTAAGCACCTAGAAGCTGTTACTAGCATTTATTTTTCTGCTCCCAGAAGCTAAATATCATCATACTATGTGTCCATGCACACTACTTTAGGCTATTAGTGTTTTTCAGCTTGTGTCTAGGAGCAGAAAATAATTGTTTTTGTAGAGTTTTTTGGAGCATTTTTCCAGCAGAAAATAACGCTTAACGCTGCTAAATGCTACCAGTTTTTTTTTCTACATGTACTGTAAAAATGCTAATAGAACGTTAACGCTCCTAAATGCTCCTAAATGTTCTAAACGCTACTAAAACATGCTATTACTAGCTTTTTTTTTTACGTAGCATTTTTTTTCAGCATTTTTTTCAGCTAATGTGCATGGAGCAAAAGTGCTAGCAAAGAAAAGGAGTATTTTCGGGTGAATGTGCGGGGGAATGGATTACTTTAGGTGTCCATAGTGATTCAGCTGTAAACATACCTGCCAGATGTCTTAGATTTGCTGGTACAGTTCCACATCTTGGCCCTCTGTTCCACCAATGCTCTGCATCAGCCTTACTTGAGTTACTGCACATGCACAATCCTTCCAATAGCCATATAACACTGGTCATACTGGGGCAATTTTCTAACAATTTCATTCACTTTAAAGGCTAAATGAGTATTTAATTGTGCTGAGAAATTAACAACTTTGCCATAAATGAAGATTCAATTTAAGCTGCTTAGTTGAAAATTGCTCCTTTTTCTTTTTATTTAGTGCTATTCCTATTTGCATTTTTCATTTTATTTGATTTCTATGTGAACTGTCATTTTAAAACATTTTCATGTATTTTTTGGATGCCTATACCTATTGCTGCTTAGAAAGGACAAGGTACTTTGAGTTTCCCTGTATCCACTACCTTGCTGATTGGAATTTTATTGACCTCTATTATTGCATGAGGTCCCAATTTCTAGTGAGTTTCCATCCCTACCATCTGGTGATGGTGGTGTCTGCTTTTCATTAAAGGAGTTGTGGTCAATATACCTAGTCCGTGGTTCTCTCACCCACAGCAGGATTTAGAAGAAGCATGAGGGATATTGGGTGGTCTCAATACTAGCACTGCAATTTGTTTCGAATGTCATTGTAATGACTACATATGTTGTATATCTTTCCTTTTGCAAGATGCTTCTATTTAGAGCAGTGGTTCTCAACCTTCCTAATGCCGCGACCCTTTAATACAGTTCCTCATGTTGTGGTGACCCCCAACCATAAAATTATTTTCGTTGCTAACTGTAATTTTGCTATTATTATGAATCGTAATGTAAATATCTGATATGCAGGATGTATTTTCATTGTTACAAATTGAACATAATTAAAGCATAGTGATTAATCACAAAAACAATATGTAATTATATACTGGGAAATATTTTTATCACCCCCATAAAAATACACCTGCCCCCAATAATGATGATTACCCCACCCCCCTCTATAATGACCTATCACCCCCATAAAAATAAATCTGCCCCCCAATAATGATTACCCCACCCCCCTCTATAATGACCCATCACCCCCATAAAAATACATCTGCCCCCAATAATGATTACCCCACCTCCTCTATAATGACCTATCACCCCCATAAAAATGCATCTGCCCCCAATGATGATGATTACCCACCCCCCTCTATAATGACCTATCACCCCCATAAAAATACATCTGCCCCCAATAATGATGATGACCCCACCCCCTCTATAATTACTTATCACCCCCATAAAAATGCATCTGCCCCCAATGATGATGATTACCCACCCCCTCTATAATGACCTATCATCCCCATAAAAATAAATCTGTCTCCCATTAATGATGATTACCCCACCCCCCTCTATAATGACCTATCACCCCATAATAATACATCTGCCCCCTAATAATGATTACCCAACCCCCCTCTATACTGACCTATCACCCCCATAAAAATAAATATGCCCCCAATAATGATGATTACCCCACCCCCCTCTATAATGACCTATCACCCCCATAAAAATAAATCTGCCCCCAATAATGATTACCCCCTCAAATAATCTGCCCCTCATCCCTATAAAAATGCCCCCCCCCCAAATGATAGTTTGTCTGCCCTTCTTCCCCTCTATAATAATTTATCACCACCATAAATTATATATCTGCCCCCCATAATAATTTATCTGGGGCGGGGTACAATGAGAGCCGCTCCCACTGTACGATGGGGTAGGCACTAACCTGGATCTGCCCCGATCTTGTTGGGTGATCCGGGCATGACATCGGTCACGTTCAGGCAGTTCCTGGGGACGGTTGGTCGGGTCATTCAGGGTGGGAAACTTCAGAATGATCGGAGCGGCGGGAGATCTCCGCACAAATCCTCCGCTTCAAACAGCTGCGCGTGCCAGGACAAAACCCGACCAATCATGGACGGACCGGTCTACCAATCAGGCCGAGGGAGTTAAATCCCCCTACCGGGAGAGGGGGGCGTGCCCAGGTGTGATTGACACATGTCTTGACAGCGGTGTCTCGGTTCCTAAGACCGTCGGAAATATGTTTTTTTTCCGATGGTCTTAGGCGACCCCTGTGAAAGGGTCGTTCGACCCCCAAAGGGGTCGCGACCCACAGGTTGAGAACCGCTGATTTAGAGGACAGTTAGATACAGGGGCGGACTGACCATTCAAGCACTCAGGCACTGCCTGAGGGCCCGGGGTCGGAAGGGGGCCCCATGAGATGCCCCTGGTACCTTTCATTGGCTTTTTCATGGGCTTTTTTGGGTGTGGGCAAGGACACGGGGGCCCCATGATCTCCTATTGCTCGGAGGCCCCATGAGTTGTCAGTCCGCCCCTGGTTAGATATACTGTATTTGTACTGCCATTTTACAAACTTAGCAAATGAATCCCACATGGGGTTACTAAGCAAGTGCAGAATTCAGGTGCTAAATGTTTGGTGGTTAAGGAATGGCGTAATTCCTAAACAGTACAATTACATTTTAATACAGAAGGGATAGGAGGGCCCTGCTCATGGAGCCTGCAATCTATGGAGGGGTAGGTGGTACAAAAGGTGATAGCTGCAGGGGATGATCTAATGGAAGTGGCCCAAATATAGTTTTTAGGTGGAGGTCAAGGTGTTGTAGGCGTCTTTGAATAAATGGGTTTTTAAGGATTTCCTTAAGGCAGACAGGGTAGGAGCTAACCAGACATATTGGGGAGAGGATCTGGAGAGTTGCTGAAGAAGTCCTGGAGGCAGGCATGGGAGGAGGAAACAAGGGAGCTAAAGGGCAAGATTTCTTGAGAGGAGCAGAGGGGACAATTTAGGCAATATCTCTAGATGAGGTTGGGGATGTAGCTTGGGGCAATGTTGTGGATGGCTTTGTATGTTGTGGTTAGTATTTTGAATTTTATAAGTTGGGCTAGTGGAAGCCAGTGAAGGGATTGGCAGAAGGGGAAGCAGCCATGGATCAGTTAGTAAGGTGTATAGGTCTGACAGCAGCATTCTGGATAGACTGAAGGGGACATAGCTTGTGTAGATGTAGGCCAGTGAGGAGGGAGCTGCAGTCGTCAAGGTAGGGTTATAACCAAAGAGTGAATACGTTGTTTTTTGGTGTCCTTAATCGGGAAGGGGCGAATTCTGGAAATTTTGCTAGGGTTAAGGAGGGACAATTTACCCAGCGATTGGGTGTGAGGCCTGAAGGATAGGTCAGAGTGTAGGATTACACCTAGCATCCTGGCATGTGCGGAGGGACCAATAATTGTGCTGTTGATCTCAATGGTAAAGTCATGGGGGGGGGGTATTGGGGGGAAGGAAAGATTACCAGGAGGAACAGATTTATGTATTTTAGAGTGCTCTTTAAACCACATTAAAAGACCTATTCCCTGATGAATGATATTTTTTTTGCATTGGT